CTAAAACAAAGCAGATAAAAACAGCACATCTAACACATGTTTCCCTGGCTGGGCTCTGGCCCTGACTGAGGACTCGTGAGGAAGAACCTTCATGGTTCCCATCATCCAATACAGCTTCCCTGACTTGGAAATTATTCCAAAGGAATTTTCATAAGGCAAGAGGTAAAACAGACAAACCTACCAGATTTTGGTGAGAAACTTACCAAACCTATTGTAATCTTCTGAGGGCCAAGGCCCTAAAGTCCCACAGCCCCTGGCAGGTAGAAGACTCAAAAGCTTTAGTACTCTGCACATAAAGGTGTGTCATAGCAGCTGGCTTTGCCACCCAGTCCAGCCTTCTAGTTGTCCCAAGCTTTCTTTTTATTTTTTATGAAGCATGGAAGCTCAGCAGTGGTGGCGCATGCCTTTAATCTTAACACTTGGGAGGCAGAGGCAGGTGGATCTCTGTGAGTTTGAGGTCAGCCTGGTCTACAGAGTGAGTTCTAGAACAGCCAGAGCTGTTACTCAGAGAAACCCTGGCTTGAAAACCAAACCAGACCAAACCAAACAAACCATGGCCCTATGCAAGGCCTACAGCTCCTATGGACCTGCTTACCTCACTCATGAAGGTCACTAGCACCTTGTGAAGGTGGTGTCCTGAGTGTGCTGTTTTCATGTTTGTGGCTGGTATGACACAGATAAGCACGGGGCTTTCCTTTGCTTCTTCCACGGCATGTTTTCTTGGGGTCAGGAGCTGAGGAACCCCTTTTTTTTTCTTTTTTTCTTTTTCTTTTGAGATAGGATTTCTTTATGTAGCTTTGGAGATTGTCCTGGTGCTCACTCTGTAGACCAGGCTGGCCTTGAACTCACATAGATCTGCCTGCCTCTGACTCCCAGTTGCTGGGATTAAAGGTGCTTGACACCACCACCCATCGAGGAACCCTTTCTTAAAGTGCAAATATTACCCAGGTTGATGGACAAGGTGAAGAGAGTCCATGTTAGAAGCACAGACTGAACTCTCCCTCATTGCAGGATGAGGTGGTTCCACTGTAATTTCAACTGATCTGTTAGGGTCTCTCCAAAATTCCTGATGGTTTATGTATAGTTTTCCTGTCTAACTTCTCTGTGTTCTTAGCAGATCAGGGTTGGGGCTGGGCCTGTCACAGCAAGAAACTTTGTCACTACTTCTTGAACATGCACACTAGCTCACTCAGTGCAGAACTATATACAAGTGCAGTTCTATGCTTTCGAGTTTCTTATTAACCTAGCATGCTTCCTTGACTTAAAAATATGAACATGGCTGTGTGTGTGTGTGTGTGTACTCTGAATGTATTAGGGTTCGCTTGGCTGTTTTTCAGTGCAGTAGTTGCAAGGGAAAGAGTGTAAGGAATCCATGTTTCCAGAAGCCAAGCCTAGTCATGCGGGACATCCACACTGTTAAGCCAGGTGCTCATACTGGCTTACCCTTTGCTTTGCCTACCTATCTGTCTTCCTTACTTATCACTTCCAGTAAACTTAAAACGGACAGGTGGATTTCTGACTTTTTGGTTGTTGAATTTTGAGATTTTTCAGGAACTGAACAAAATATGCCAATTTATATGACTTGAATGTTTCCTGCCAAAAATCTGACAGGCCTTACTCTGCCTGAGCTTGTCACTTTTGGCCCTAGAATGGCTCACTTTTGTTCTTATCATTACCATCTTTTTTTTTTCCACTATCCTCTTCCTGTTTAACAGAAAAGCAATGAGATGAGTGGCCCATCACAGTGCCAATAGTTTCCACAGGCCTCTTCAGACTACTCATGCTTTGCACTAAAGCCTATGGGCCTTCAAGTTCAGTGACAACATCATGCTAACAATCACCATGTTCCCCTTCAAAACCTCTGCAAACCTCCCACCAGGGTCAAAGACTGCCACAATTCTGGCTCCATGTCTTTTCTAGATTTTGAGGTGACTGTTCTTGGCTGCTCTCTAATAAAAATGGTGATGGCCATTATTAGGGGGACTTCTTGGCTTCTCAGTTGACTAAGGCCTGAAAGACTGTGACTGTTACCAACCGTTTGTTTGTAGAGACACCATGGTTTTCCAGTCTGTGATGTGACAAATCAGGCTGACAGGCAGTCTAGCTAACCAGGAGTCCCTTGAAGCTCTAGGCGAGCCTTACCTACTCCCCACAGTCCACTTTACCTGAGGGAGGGCAGACAGAAATCCTGGGTCCAATATGCCTTAGGTTCTAGTCCTGATACTGATTCTCATTAGCTATTACTGCTCCATGTTCCAAGATCCTCTCCAGAAATGGGGTAACAGGACCTATACCTTTGAGAGTTTTAGAAAGGACTGGAGTTGGGTAATAGACACAACACAACGGCTCAGAACCAGGCCAGGTGCACAGAAAGCCTTAGATAGGACGTCTCTGTCAGGCTTAATATGACAGATATTTTATATGTGCAGCAAATATAACTATTTGAAATGTGTTCCATGGCTAGGGATCTGTGTATGTTTTATTACTCATTTAGCAGGTATTTCCTGCATCTTCATCATGTAGTACAGTGACATGTCCCCTAGAGCTCCCAACAAATGGCTTGCAAACCTATCATCAAAATGCAGTGGTGGCCGATGGTGCTTCATACCAGACACAGCATTTAGGAGACAGGATAGTTTGAGTTAGCCTGGGCTACATAATGAGACCCTTTACAACATACCCTGCTCCCAGCGCTCCAGCAGTGTGGATAAACAATGGGGACAAAGAAGACTGTGAAGACTCTGACCACAGCTGAAGGCAGCACTGCAGGCAGCCACTTGAGCACAGTGGCACTAATCACTGAGAAGCAAACATCCAGAGTGATCACAGCAGCAAAGGACTATACCCTACCAAAGAGAAAGGACCAGGAAAAATGGTGGCACCAGAGTCTAGAAGAGGAACAGGGCAAAGAGACAAGGGAGACAGCTCCTGCCATACAACAGCAGCCTGCCTGGTTCCCACCCTCCTGAACCTCATCTCTATGATCTCAGGATCAGCTTCCAGATGCTACTCAGAGAGCCTGGGTAGTAGTCTCTAAGGACATGAAGGCCGAAGGTCCTGACTACAAAGCAAGACCTGGGCATTGGCGAGCACTGTGTCCTGGAGGTCAGTGGCTGTTGCACCACACACCCAGAGCCCTATTTTGCTCCAGCAAAAATGTTAAATAAAATGATGTGAACAGAATATACATTTATATTTATTCCAGCACTTTACAGTCTGTCTCAACTGTTTTACAAGGATTCCTGCAGAAACATCACACTCATCCTATGAAGCAGGCCTCCTCACACAGAAAGGAACTAAGAGCTGAGATATCAGATGGTACACCCCAACTACACCTACCTTTAGAACTATGCAGAGTTGGCAAGGAACACCCCTTGGCTCTATTAATCATCTCCCTGATAACATGTGGCAAAGATGATGCTGTTTTTAGGTTAAGGTTGGGAACCTGCCATCAAGGACTGCTTTCATCCTCAATCACCAAGAGCAAGTTAGGGAGACAAGAACAAGGTGATCCTGCAGAAGACATCTAAACTGGGGTACGGACTGTCCCAGCAGGGAAGCAGCCTAATAAACTAAAGAGCAGAAACACGGATAGAAATGAAAATGACAGACTCACGAGGCTAAAGGAGAGTCCTGAAGTCAGGACCCCGGGCTTATGTCTAGCACTGTGGAACAGTGCTACTGTCTTTCCCTGCCTTAAAAAATCTCCCACAAAGCCACCCACCAAAACAAAAGTTGTACTCAGGAGAGTGAAAGCCTTCAGACTTAGAACAGAGATAACCAAAGCCCACCCAAGATGATTTACAGTCAGGGTCCTGTCGAGAGCAGCCATTCAACAGCCCTCAAAGGTCACTGACTGAAGGAGCTTTACAAACCTTGGACACACAAAGGAGACTGGGTACAGATGGAGCAGAAGCACCTGGACGAATGGACAGACCATGTGGTGATGGTGTAAAGTCCACACTCTACTTTGGTTCCCAAAAGCCACCTCAACCACAGACCTGTATGATCTAGGTGTGTATGTGGCCCATAAGGTGGGACAAAGTTCCTACAGCTAACTGACATTCCCATGAAATCCAAATTTCCAGGGAACTGTATGGAAATTCTCTCCTAGAAAGAGAAGTGATAGCAATGTGACTCCTGGGCTGATAGAAAACCTGTTCCTTCAAGGAGCCCCATCTTCATTCATGATGGCAGCCAAAGGAAGAGTGGAGGAGACCTGTGATATACATGCCCAAAGATACTTGTGTTGAAGTGAAGAAATTACTATGAATATGAGCTCACTGACTCAAATAACTCAGCCAGTAACTCACTTGAATATTTCAGATACATGCACACAGCACAGCCACATAGTTCTCTGGTCATAGGCTAGGCTTTGCTGGGACCAGCAGGTCACCCAAGGGGTACCAAAGCAATGGAGTGGAAAGCACTCCTTGGTTTCTTTCTCCTGCCTCTCTGGGTAGAGAATCACACATCTCCATGTACTAGTGACACCAGAGAGCCTAAGAAAGATTCACAAGCTACCCAGGAGGAATGTTACTCTACTGCGTGCTATTGTGACAGTTTTAACTTCAGTTTTTAAAATTACAAAATTGATGTATTCTCAAATACAAAAAGTAGAAATGACCACAATAAAATATTCACAATCTTCACACCTAGGGTTGGGGGGAAGATTATCCATACATGGGCATGTCTTACCTAACTTCTATGTAAGTATATACAAATGTGTCTATCCACACACTCACTGTTTCTTACAGACTGACTTACCAAAAACATTCCCAAAGTATACAGCTTTGTTGACACACATTTGAGTTACAAATACTCTCTTATCAACAATTCTAGTAAAACAGTAGCTGGCAGATGGTTCCTTTACATGGATTCCTGGTATTTTCATAAGCAGCTAAACAGTAAGATACAGCTACTACATGGAATCATTACTCAGTTTTGATTTTTTCCCCTTGGAACCATCACCTAATGACCCTGTAAACACACCAGGTCCT